GTGTGTATTACAAGAAAATGCCACGACATGTTTCGTCTTATTTCAAAAGTCGTGAGGCATTATTTGGATGCTGATATAATTAAGTGGAAGGCAAGAAACTAGTTTGAAACAATAATCGTTTTGAAACTCATTGAATTAGTTGAAATGTGGAAAGTAGGCAAGGAGTAGTCATGGTTTTAGAGTGGATAGTAGGACGTTTTAAGAGAGGATATAAAAAATAAATTATATTTATCTGTAGATATTGTTGATTGTTCGGTAGATGGTAGAGTAGTTTTAATGAGTGGTCTTCGTATATGTATATGAATCAATGATAATAGCAATGATGAATGGATAAGGACGGTATATGCTTTGATTTATCGGAAATGGATTAGCGCGTTATTATTTTAGTATCAGTGTGAGTTGTAGATGATTTGTATCGTGGGATCGTTAAATTATTTTATTGACAGTGGTTGTTGAGCATAAATGCATATGTATAAGATAAATTCCACTTTTGCAATTACAACGTAATGAAATACATTTTGGTTATGTCGTTTGAATAAAGTTCGTGTAGTCTGTATGATTGTTTCAGACAATGAAGAAAGATTTGTACATCAGTCGGTGGTTGATTGATTTGAGGTTTCGTTATATTCAGAAATTGAATGTTTTCTTTTTTTTAAATAATAGAATCAGATTCAATTATCTAGAACAAAAATGAAAGCGAATGTTTGGTTGATAACTTAGACTCTAGATGGATCATGGTTATGCAAAAGAAGAATATATATTGTGATAATTGATAAGCATACTTTATGATATTCAGAAACTATGCAAATAGAAATGACTGATTATAGTTAGTACATAAATCGAGTTTTTTCATTTTTACCACTATAACTTTAATTTTGCCTTAAATATGTTGCTAACTTTTCTTTTATCATGTAATTGCCACGTTGCATCATGTGAAATCGACGATCTTCAATAGCATTAACGACAGTGATGTGTACTTCATGTAAGTGTTGATCATCATGTTTGACGGATAATAAGTTCTGCATTTGATCCAGAATAATTTGAGCAGAATTCTCTGCCATTTCGCGAGCAGTTATAATACTTTGATTTATAATATTATGTTTCAACTGATTCATTGTTTCAAATTGAGATGGTGAAACAATGGTTGATTTATCATCTAGTAACATAACATTGTCTGGTTGTGTAAGGGATACTTCAATACGATTTATCGTATGATCGAAAAGAGTTGATGCTGGTAGTGGTTGTTTTGATATAAGACGCTGTTTCAGTATAGCAATCTGTTCATTCATTATTATATGTTTTGTTGTTACTCGCCAAATACGTCTTGCTGAAGCAATCTATAATAGAATGGAATTGAAAATAATATTGAAATATAATAAAGAAAATGGTAGAATCTATTGTAACCTGTGAGCTATTTGGTTTCAAATTATAAAATGCTTGCATTAAACGATGATCAATTGCATCCAAAATCAACATTTGTCTTTTGTATTCAAATTCTTCTCGTAATCTCTGTTGTTTTTCATACACAAATGTATTAATAATGAAAGATAACATTTTTATTTCGGATGAACAATCGATATGTTGTGCAGACTTGAAAAGTATTTCTTTTTCAAACAATTCAATTCTATACTGTGCTTGTGATAATTGTTTTGGAAATTTCTTACGATATTGTTCGATAAATAATTTTGATCTACCATATGTGTTACATATAGAATTTTTCTTACTCAATGGTTTTGAAATATGACCAGACCAAATATTCTGTGTCATACCAATATGATAATAATAATTCCATTGTTGTTCTTGTAATTTCACATAACATAATCGATCAATCAAATTCGTATATTCACGAATAAATTCGAGCTTCTCTTTTTCATTTAAAAAATGACCAAGTTTATCTACATCATTAAAGGCTGTTGACAACATATGAAAAAAGATTTGATCTGGTACATTTGTATAATCGATCGAACTATTGTTACTTATCGATGTTTTCTTCGACGATTGAACGGATATTAAGGAATTAACTTTATTTGTACGTATAAGACGCTTTAAATTTGGTTGCTTTGGTGAAACTAGTCCATGTTGATATATATTCGCGTGTGTTTTGTTTTTTTCTACCATTGCTATTCCATCAAACATTGTCTGATTAACGGTTGAATTTGTTTTATCAACATTTTGTTCCATAATTTTACTACTTTCTTCTGAGTCAATGTCGACCCATGCACCTGTTATGCGGATAACGGTATCTGGATCCATACCTTGCTTGCGAAGGTTTCGACGATAACGTTGTAGTTTTCGATTTCCGCGACTTTTCTTCTTTTGTTTATGTTGTAGCTCTTGTATAGATTCATCTTGACTAGAAAGACATGGATACCATCCTTGACAGTTTTGAATATTCGAATTTTGTGGATGATCAATCAGTCCATTATTAGTATGCTTGAAACTCATAATCAAAATAGTATATTGATTATAAAGAATATATCTGAAAGAGAAATCATAATGATAGAAATGTTTTTTAAATATTAAACTGATAGTAAAATAAATACGGAAACTTTGAATTTTATCTGAAAGTCATTCTAGAATAGTATGTGCATAAACAAAATCTAAACGAATAACGTTCAGTTGATAAGTTAAGATACTCACTACAGATCTCGTGCTGTAAATTATGATTTATTCTTTGATAGGAATATCATTTTCTATGCAAGTTTCGCTTTATAATCTAACAAAATATGATTATTCTTTTCAATAGCCAAGATCATAGTCTAATACAATGTAAGATTATTTATTATTGAATTGAAATGAAAACCTAAAAATAATAATTTTATATGAGTACTTACTTGATGTATTGCTTGATGTTGAATGCAACTGAAAAAGAAAAAACGGTATGTATTTATACGACCAAGAGGGTAAGCAGACTTTGGACTGTATTACGCAGTTGTATATAAAAAGAAAAGAGCAAACTAAGGGTATACGCTAAACTATGTATAGAATTTCTTCTCTTTTACGTGGGCACAATGCCATTCCTTCTTTAAAGTATAATAATAATACGTGCAACAATGTTATAATAGAATAGAAGATAAGAATTTTGATTTTTAAGAACATTGTTTGTGATTCAGAGGAGAGGAAACGAGAACAAATACTTTCATATTACTTGAAAGTTATTGATCATTCTTATTGAAGGTGGTCTGTTGTTAGTCAATGATGATGAAAGTATGTAGAATATTGTAAAAGATTAAATCCAAAATCATGAACAATTAAATTAATTTATCTAGAAATAGAAGGAAAGTACATAATAGATAAAATGAAAAAAAAAGCAAAAAGAAAATGTATATAAGCATGTAAATGAAGAATAAATGAAAAGTCTAACTTAAAATCTTTAAGGTCACAACTAAAAGTGGTATCCTGGAAATAGAAAACTAAAAAGAAACTGAATATTTATGTAGATGTTGTTGCATGATTAGTGACTAACATGGATCGTGGTGGTTTCTTTCTAACAAGTAGTTCATTGAGAGATTTATTGCTTTTTGAACTAAACTTTAGTTTAACATCATTGACTAATGATCCTTCGTAGATATAATATTTCTTCCATAATCGATGGAGTTCTCGCTTGAATTGTAACTTTGGACCACTTTCAAAAGTAAAAAGAACACGAATCTCTTTTTTATTAAAAATTTGTCGTTCTCTTTCTCGTTCTCGATATGTTGGTTGAAGAATTAATTTGTGATGTAATTCTCGATAGATATCATCATTCAATTCATTCATCAATGACATAATATGATGCTGTTCAAAGAATTGTTTAAAATGATAGGAAACAAACTTTGGTGGATAGCCATTTAATAATAACATAAGTTCAATGTTCAATCGTTCTTTGTCAAAGTCTTCTACGTTTGAACATAGACGAACTGCTCGAAAAAGAGCACCTTTAACCGTATTGCGATGAATATAACGTGGATGATCTGATAAAAATGGAACAATATATGGTTCTGCTGCTGGTTTATGATAAACTGAAGTATGTAATTGTCCATGATTATTGTTTACTAAAACATCAAGAAATTCGATTGTAGATCCAATTGATCGACTAATACGTATATTCTCATCTTTTCCATTTGCTCTGTCTAACATCAGATTAATTTGATCAACAGATAGATTTGTAGTCATAAATACATCATCGATATATCTATATGAACAAAATATTTAGATTAACTAACGAACTAATAGGACAAAAATGTCATATACTTACCGTCCATAGAGTTCATTATGAAATTTTTGATGTTCAATTAATGATTGTTCCCATTTTAACATATAGATATTCGCTAGAGTCATTGTAAATGGTGATCCCATAGCACCACCACGAATTTGTTCATAATATTTATTTTCGAATACAAAACAATTTGTATTCAAAATAAGATGAGCCATTTTCATAATAGTATCAATTGGCATACTATGGATTCGACCATTTCTTGCATATTTATTTAAGAATTCTTCTAAAATGTATAGAGCTCCATCACGAGGTATCATTGTATAGAGATCAGTAACATCAAATGTAATAAAAGTAGTTGTTGATGATAGACGACCAATATCTCGATATAATTCTAATCGTCGAACAAAATGAATTCCATTAATAAGCGTTGTTTGTCTTGCTGCTCGATCAAATATTGGACGAAGTAATTGATCTAAGAAATGTGATAAACCTTTTGCTGCAGCTCGTATCGATGATACAATAGGTCTCAACGGTGTATCAATCTAAGAAAGTAATAATATAAAGATTTTGGTCTTAAATTGCATCTTTCTTTAAAGTTACCTTGTGTGGTTTGGGTATGAAGTAAAGATGTGCTAATTCAATTGTTTCAATATTTGGATGCATCCATTGTTTCCATAATTTAAGATCAATAATCTTTTTCTGTAACAACGGATTTATAAATGTTAAAACTTGATGTAAATGATCCATACATGGATTAATTCCACTTGTTATTTCTTTGTATGCCTTTGTTTTTTGCATATATTCCATTGATTTATGATGGTAACTCTCAGTACTTCCCAAATGAAACACTTTACTCTTATCTGTTCTTCGTAAAACAATATTTTCTTGTTTCTGTATACGTTGAATACTTCTAATCATTTTATCATCGTGTCGAATACGAGTTGATAATCGATGTGATACAGATTGTGTTTGTAGCTGACAAAGAAGATTTTCAATAGACATAAAGAATTCTTTGGCTCGTTGATCAGAGATCGATAGACAATTATCTGTGAGAGTATTTTTAAATGATTTTATAATGTTTTCATGTTCTTGTTTGATAATAACATCGATGTTTGAATGTGAAAATCGACTTTGACATGTAGGTACATATTTAGGACCATTCGCAAGAAATGCTAATTGTTTTGATGACAAAGATGAATCGACTTCAATAATTGGTGACGATGGAAGAATATGACTGAATGTATTTAAAATATCGCTCCGACGGTTCCAACCACTTCTTCCTCTTCTTTTATAACCGTCGGAGCGTCGTCGAAAAAAGACAATTTTTGTTTAGTAATCAGTTGAGCACGTTGGATAATATTGGATTGACGTGCAGCGATAGCATTTAAGATTGAAACAAGTGATTTTGATAATGGAACTTGTGCAGTAGTAGTAGTAGTAGCAGAATCAGTTAACTTCTTCTTTTCATTGACAATAATATTAGTATGACTACGAATTAATTCTTCACTTGTTGTAATCTCTAATGTAAGTAGATCATATTTGAATTGAGCAATGGTTTTAAGACGTCGAGATGATAATGTAGCACGTTTATCTGCATGAAGTACAAGTTGTTTCAACATTTGTTCTGCATTATCAATAGAATGATCGAGAATACCGAACGAAGCAGGTAATCGTTTGGTATAGATACGTTGTTTTAATATGGCCACATATTCTTCCATGTGTTGTTTATCAAATGTTGCTTGCCATATGATTTTTGCTGATCTAATCTACATATTAAAAAAATACATATTTACAAAAAAAATCAACTTTTATCTATGAATTATTCAAACCTGATCTTCAGATGGATTCAATTTATAAAATGCTTGTACTAAACAATAATCATTGGCATCCAATTGTAAAAGTTGTGTTCTGTGTTGAAAATCAGCGGACAATTTATATTGACCTTTTCGTACAAATGCAGGAATCACCATTGATAATTTCTTTAGATCAATGAATTGGTCAGTTAGCAATTGTTTATGTTTATCTAATTCATTCTCTGTTTGTTTCAATTCTTCAATGACCATCTGTCGACGTTTCTGTACATTATTTTGTGTCATAAAATAAATTCGATTTAAATTATTTTCTTTAATTATTTGTTTTGATAATTCCAGAGACCATATACTTGTAGTTGTAGTTATCTTATAATAATGATCCCAATAATCTTGTTTTAATCGAAGATAGAACAAGTCATTAACTAATTGTGCATAAGTACGAGCATATTGTAATTTCTCTGGTGTATCTAGTGATTGAATAGTATTTTCCACACCTTCCAATGCTTTTGATAACATCTGTTTGAAGACATGATCTGATGTATTCAAATAATTTGGTTTTGTTTTGTCTTTTGATTTCTTAGAATTATTTCTAACTTGAGTCAAATCAATAATTGTTGTTGAACGTTGTCGTTTAGTCAAAGGTTGAGCAATAGACACTTGACTGATAGATGTTGTCACACCTCCTCGTAGTTCTCGTTTTCGCTTTGTTGCCATTTCTTGAACCATTCCATGTACTTCTTCCTGTGCCTATGATGTTACTTTTTTATTTGAAAAAAATATACGAAAAGAGAGGTATCCTACCTGTTGATGTAATTCAATAAAATCTTGTACATTCACATCAGTATTCTGTACGTTTTCTTCTTCTTCAGGTCGAGATGGATTATTATATGTATTTATTACTGTTGTAATTGCTTCATTATTCAATCCTTGTCGTCTCAGTTTTGCTCTAAATCTTTGTAGTTTACGATTACCACGACACTTCTTTTTCTTGTTCTTCTTCGATTCTGCTTGCGACTGTATAACTTCTTCTGCCGTGGAAAGAATCAGATCGTGTGGTTGACCTTCTTGCAGATCTGGTTTATCAGTTGACATTTTACTAAATAATAACCAAAATCTACAATAGAAGATAAGATAAGCGAAACAAATAGAAAATGAAAAAGAAAAATAATGTTTATTATTGGAAATGAGGATTGAGACGAGGATTCATTCTTTTTCGTGTCTCATGCAACATGCTAGGACGACGAACAAGATTTTGACACCAATTACCACGACGATCATCAACCATGCGTGCATTTATATCATTACAATTGTTATTTTCAACAATCATACCATCTAAATGACCTAATGTATTTAATTTAGTTTGAGCATGTGTAATGAATAATGCTTCGATTAATCGATAAAATAATTCAGAACAATTCTCCGGTACTAAATATAGATAATACAGAAAGAACTAGATGGTATCTACTAGACTGACTTACAAACAGCAATGATGGTAGCATTATATAGATCTAGATGAACGTTAGGCAGAAAAAGATCACATTTCTCTTTGAACATATAAAATTGTTGAGTACGTTGATTTGTCGAAAACGTATAGTTTTCTGATGGCAATGGAGGTAAATCAATCATGTATGTACTAGCTTCTTGATCACGACGTGAATGAGTATTCGATGGAAACATTATAATATTACTTGGGAAATCAGATGTAAGATTTTGTGTTCGTGCTTCCATCTTTGGCATTGGTACGAAACACCAATATTGTGGATTACAATCCAGAAACATTTGAATAGCATATGAACAACGAGCTGAATGTTTGTAAAGTAACATATTATCAGCTGTTAATTCTCTGAAATTAATTTATGTATAATAAAATAGATATATATCAAAAAAGAATATAATTACTCTTGTGATTTGGTTTGTTGTCGCATACGACTACTATTGACTGAACCAAGAATAAATTCATGCATGATTCGATTACCATGCTCACGATGATCTATATATATATATAGAAAATAACTATCATTTATTAAAAATCAAATATACTAACATTTAAGTTGTTCATCTAATGACATTGCTGTATATCCAATATAATCATATTGACCACATGGACATGTCAAAGCATAGAGAATATTCTTTGTAGTACAAGTCTAAATAAATCAAAGAGATTAAAAAATTATATGTGTGATCATATCTACCACTGGACAATTGAGAATAGCTTCATATCCATTGACAAAACGATGTTTTTGTGCTGATGAAAATTGAACAACTGATTGACTTTGTCGACCACGAGTAAGAATATCGGTGATGGGAAAACAAAATCGACATGTAACTTGTTCACATGGTTTTAGACCATAGAGCGCTTTTGGTTCATCAATACAGAAGATACCATGATGATTGTATAATGATGGCTTAGCATTACGAAAAGAACATGTTTTCATAAAAAACAATTCATCTAAAATACAGACGTAATAATATGATCAAAAGAACAAAAAATTATATACCATCAATTTGTAGATAAAACTCTAATGCTAGAGCATACTCATCGATACGTAATTTTTCACTACCAATAGTAGTCTCAGACAGATAATCATATTGAATTCGTTCTTGTGTCATAATATTTAGACATTGACGAAGACGTTCATAATTATAATCAAGAATAGCATTATTAACATGAAAACGTTGTACTAAATCTTCATATAAATGATGATAGATATAGATAAAGAATGGTCGAACACTAATATCAACACTTTGATCAATAATAGTAAATGGTTGATGAAATGTATAATGATTGCGACGTCGTTGTTGTTCTTGGGTTAATTCTTGACAAGATACATTTGCCAGAAGTAAATGATCTCGATTGATAGGTCCAAATCGATCAAATGTCGGAT